AGGAGGAGGAGGAGGAGGAGGAGGAGGGGAAGGGGAAGGGGAAGGGGAAGGGGAAGGGGAAGGGGAAGGGGAAGGAGAAGGAGAAGGAGAAGGAGAAGGAGAAGGAGAAGGAGAAGGAGAAGGAGTGCATTTATATCCTGCCTCTTTTCTTATGAAGAACCCAAGGTGGCTGTCTTTGTCACAGGAAAGCCCTGATACCGGGCTGCTGATTGTCTCAGTCTGCTTCCAAGAAGGGCAGCACAGTTCTTAATGCATGGGAAATACTGACCAGTGGTGTATGTCCCCCGAGGGCAGAGCTGGTGTCCAGGGTAACCCTAGTGGGGCACCTACAAAAGGCCAGCACTGCATCAGGGGCCTGCTGATGAGGACCTCCTGGAGGTGTTCCTCCTCTGGACCACAGCAACCTGCTTACTCTCACCTAATAATTGTGGCGACAAGGAGGGAGAGGAGTGGAGGCCTCTTTCAGCTGGCTCCCTGGCTCTGTACCTGTGGAGGAAGCAAGTGGTAGCCACGGTGAAAAAGAGGGTGAGGACCAAGAGTGGCAAGAGCAAGTGGCCACGAGAAGGTAGACTCCTCGAGGGATGGGGTGCTGGGGGTGCCCTGTCTGAGGGCCTGCAAAACGCTGGGGAGGACTTGCCTATTGCAAGAAGGAGGCTTGCTGGGCTCCTCCTGCTGCAAGAGACTTCCCTGAGCAGTGCTTTGCAGAAGGTGATTGACGGAAGCGGAGGACGCTCGCTGTTCAAAAGGCGCTGGGGAGATTTTGCTTGCACTGATGTGAAACCCAGACTGTGTTACCTACGGACCCCTCAAGAGGTTCAGAGAGAGTCCATGTGCCGTAATGTATGGACATGCCACATCTCGCCAATATAAGCTATGCTAATGCAGCCTGTGTGCTTTAAATCATAACTCCTCGAGGCTGCGGTGAGGTCTACACGGCAATTCTGTGACAGGCTTCCTGCCACCCTCAGTGAGGGATGCTTTTCAGTCTCCTCCCATCCATCCAATATCCTTCAAGGGCAATAAAATAGCCCAGTTGTGCCAATGACACAGCAAGCGGTTTTTTCCACCATGCATTATTCAGATGCACACATTAACTGGCTGCGTTGGCCAGATGTACTGCGCGCGGGTTTTCAGAAGGCCATATTGACATTTTCTGCTCATCCGAGGTTTGAGTGATCAGTGTGCCTTAAAAATAGAACCCTTTATAGTTAATAAAGCCATCGCAAAGGGTGGGCAGACAAAAGCTTCTTGGAACTGCAGACAATCAACCACATGTGCTTCTTTTTCTTTTTTTAAGTTTAGTGTCTTTCTGAAAAATTATGCTGAGCCGACCACATCATTTATTGCTGTAAATGTATTTAATGGCAAGCAATTAAAATGCATAGGACAGCAACAGTTTTGATACGTAGACCAGGATCCAAAGAGAGGCTCTAAGTAGTACAAAAGGCTTGGGAGCATCCAATGGAAAGTTAGACTTCGGTTCCCCTTGGGGAAAATGCAGGCATTGCTAGTCACTTAAAAGCTCCTTCTGTAGTCACTTAAAAGAGCCTTCCGTAGTCACTTAAAACATTCTTCTAGTCCCCATTGTTTGAGCACCATGGCAGGGGCTGCGGGAAGCAAGTGCACATGGGACAAGGGCTGGCCATTCTCTCCCAGCTGCAATTTCCTTCGAAATCCCCAGAGGCAGGACGGCATAGTGGTTAAAGTGTTTGATGGGACCCAGGAGATGCAGATTCGAATCCCTGCTCACTCATGGAGCTCATTGGTTGACCTTGGGCCAGCCACTGACTCCTAGCCTAACCTACCCACAGGGTGGTTGTTGTGGGGATAACATGGAGCGCAAGAGGAGCACACAAGATTCCTAGTCTTCCTTGCAGGGAAAAGAGGTATATCCCAGACCCACTAAATAAACCCCTGCCCCAGCCCTGACTCGGTACCAATAGAAATATGTCTCCCTACCCACTGCTTAATTGCCATGTAGAAGGGTGGAGACATGCAGTGGGGGACAAGGGGTGTTCACCCTTCCCTCCCCGGCTGTAACATCCCTTGAAACTTGCCCCTGTATGGCATTAAGTGGGGGGAAATCCATCCATCATTACCGGTGGACATTGAGGGCTTTGGGCTGTAGGCCCAGGGCCATGGGAAATAGATCCGGGGCTCAAGACGCAGGCCTAGCTATATCCCCGCCCCTGTTTTCAGATGTTTCCTTGTTTCATTGCATTGTTTTGGGTGTTCTGGATCTCCCGGTAATTTTGCCTCTTGCCCTTGGCAGGTTTTCATCTGTTTGAAAAACTACCTTCGGTAGTCCCCGAAAGCTGCCTATTGATCTTTGTTGGGCTCATCATGGGAGGGATCATTTATGGCCTCAATGACAAATCCCCTCCAGTTATGGACAGCGACATCTTCTTCCTCTACCTCCTGCCCCCCATTGTCCTGGACGCTGGGTATTTCATGCCCAGCCGTCCCTTCTTTGAGAACATTGGGACTATCCTCTTATATGCTGTGGTGGGGACAATCTGGAATGTCTTTGGGATTGGATTCTCACTCTACGGGATATGTCAAGTGGGTGCCTTCCAGCTGCATGATATATCGTTGCTCCATAACCTCTTGTTCAGTAGCTTGATCGCGGCCGTTGATCCCGTTGCCGTGCTTTCCGTGTTTGAAGAGATACATGTCAATGAAAAGCTTCATATTTTGGTGTTTGGAGAATCTCTTCTCAATGATGCTGTGACAGTTGTAAGTATATTGAAAGCCAAGATGGAGTTACTTTGGTGGTCTAGAGGAAGTGGGAAATTGTACCCAAAATCCACAGCTGAGCAATCTCTGACTCGAATGTCACAAAGAATGGGCACTCCACTGAGCTTTCTGAAGGTGTTTCCTTGGCATCTTGAGAGGCACCTGATCTGGTTCTCTGCTGCTCCCCAGATAGCTGGGCCTCCTTTCTCAGGCCAGCCCCACTCCCTGGCCACCAGTTGCAGGGTGGTTGTCTGCAGTCCCTCCATCCCCATTTCGAAGTGCTGAAATGCCCCTCCTCAGGTTTAGTTCCTGGCAGGAAGAGCTTCAAGCTGGAAAATGCACTGGGTTTGTTTCTATTACATTTTTGGCCCCGATCCACATGGCTCTTGAGAACTTCTCTGGAATGGAATTCCACCCTCATGCTGAAAGAGGTGCAAGAGCCCTCTTCAAGGGGCCAGACCAGATAATCCCTGTCCCTAGATGCTGCCCACTGCATGAAGGGATGCTTTTGAACCCCCCCCCCCCCACTTCTTTCCCATCCATGCAGGAATGGAGCTTTTGAGGAGTAGTAGCTTTTGATGTAGTCCTAGGCACATTGGATTCAATGCACACTTGGGAGTTGCATCCCCTTTGCCGGAGCTGTCTTCCAGTGTCTCGTTGCTGTCTCCATTTTAATGCCACCCGAGAAGGCTGTGTCAACCTGCCTCAATGTAGGACTGGCCCCTATATCAGCCCTGCGAGACATAACAAGCAAAAAAAGACCTTTTGTTTGCCCACCTTGGTTCCATTTCTGGCCTTACAACCAAGCCTTTCCCTTTCTATTTTCTTCCTAGGTGTTGTACAAGCTGTTCCGATCCTTTTGTGAAATGCCATCCATCAAAACAGCAGATGTGTTTGCTGGAGCTGGGAAGTTTTTTGTGGTTGGCATCGGAGGGGTTTTAGTAGGCCTCCTGTTTGGCACGATAGCTGCCTTCACCACACGCTTTACCAAAAATATCCGTGTGATAGAGCCCCTGTTTGTTTTCCTCTACAGTTACCTGTCCTATCTCACTGCAGAAATGTTCCACCTCTCTGGTATTGTGGCGTAAGTAAATGCAGACAAGCCAATGTTTTAGGCATGGGTGCAGCTAAACTCTGGAAAAAGGTATCTCTGCACCACAGTTAGGACTATGCTGGGGAAAAAATCATAAAAGCTTTTAGGGGAACTCTGGAACAAAACTGCCTGTTGCAGTTCTATAAAGAAGCAGAAGAGAAAGTGAAGCAGAAGAGAAAGTGAAGCATTCTTGGAAATAGTCATGCTATCATGTGAAGTGGGGAAAGGCAAAGTCATTAGATTTGCACTGTGAAGTTCTCTGCTTTTTTCTAAGCAGGTCTATACTTGCATAGGTTTGTACTCAAAAAGCAAGAAATTTCACATGCCCTAATTCAACTAATCACCACTGGTGAAATTTAGTTTATGCTTCTTTTAAAGGTATCTTTTGGCAATGTCCAATAGGTGTTTCTTTGTTCCACAAATCAACGCTGTACCATTTGGTCTTTTGTATTCGCTGACATGCACACTTATTTAAATTATTCACTGGCTTCATAGAAATTAACAAATGGTCAGCGTAAATAGATTCCTTGTGCTTTGACTGCCAAAGGGCTGCTCTTATACCATTTGAAGGCATGATGCTCACCTGCTGTAGTGCATTGGATTGCGGTCTATAGTAGGTGCCATGATGGGGACCACAGCCAATAGCCTACACAGCCAATAACAACAATCTATAGCCTTTGCATATAAACGTTTTGCCCATAGCCAACAGCAGTAGCCTTTCTCTTTGACAGCTTCTATACTGTTAGCCAATAAGACTAGAGTAGCCACTGGCATCATGACTAGCGACCATTGATAGCCTTTATTCATTTATCTAGCTAGATAGGACAGTAAAAGAGTCATCAACTTTAACTGAGCCTTTTAATGAAGCTCACAGTGCTGAATCTTGAGGATGAGCATTACTGTTATCCTGCTTTTCAATTGCATGCCTTCTCCAGTTTAAAAGACACACACACAAGCACTCCACCAAAGTCTCTTGAGATGGGAAGGGGCGTACTGGATGAATTTTATTTCTCTCTCTCTTCAGAATCATTGCCTGTGCAATGGGGATGAAACGTTATGTGGAGGCTAACATCTCTCTGAAGTCCCACACAACCATCAAATACTTCATGAAAATGTGGAGTAGTGTCAGCGACACCCTCATCTTCATCTTCCTTGGGGTCTCCACCATTGGGGACAACCATGAGTGGAACTGGCCATACATTTGCTTCACAGTCATTTTCTGCCTCATCTGGCGAGCTCTAGGTAACGTAGACGATCACCAAAGTTCTCCTCTTTGGGTATCCAGCACCTTCTCAAAGAACATCACCCTCCGAGATGACGGGGAGCCAATCTGCCAGCAGGACTGGCCCTAGATGAAACGAGATGCCAGCCAAAGGGCATTTTCAGTGCCTGCCTGCAGATTCGGACGATTCAGAGGACCGCCTCTGGGCAGCAAGCCATGGAAGGAACAAGCTCTCCTGTACCTCTGCGCTGGGCTACCTCTTTCAGGTTCACAGCCTTAAAGTGGCAGCCCCTAGCGCCTGGTGGCCTGCTTGCGACTCCACTGGGCATGTATTGGCCAACAGGCTTAGAGGGGTTTGTGGGGCCTTTGGAGCAGAACTGGACAATCGTGCGGCAGAACAAGCTTGCAGGGCCCCTGGAGGGGCAGGCCTGGCTGCGCCGTGTGTTCCCTTCCCGCTGGCTTTGCATTACGGACATGCGGTTTTCTATTAAAACGCTTCGCTCTGTGTGTCACAGACCTCAGCAGGGAACCTTTGTTCCATGGATGGGGTCAGAATGGTACCCAGATGCACTAATGCACATTCGTTATTATTAATTAGGGCTAATGCAAATAAGTGCAAATCCCCTGCTCCCAAAAGTGAAAAGCCAGTCCACGGATTCCAAGTAATTCAGAAAAAGCTGGTCCTCTCTGCAGATTGGATTCATGGTCATCAAAAGCCGCGTGAATATATGGTGGGTTTTCCCGGTGTCCCTAGTTCGGCCCTACACCACTGTTCTGAGACACTCCTAGTGAATTCAACTTCTTATGGTGTGGGGTGGATGCATCCATGTTGGCCTTTAGGACTGGTACACTCCATCCTTCCTTCGCTCCTGATAATTTGCACCCCTGCTTCACTCGTTTTAGGCGTTCTTGTCCTGACATTCATCATAAACAGATCTCACGTGAATACTGTGACGCCCAAGGACCAGTTCATTATTGCTTATGGCGGACTTAGAGGGGCCATCTGTTTCTCTCTGGTGTTCTTGCTCCCAGATTTTCAGAGGAAGAAACTCTTCATTGCTGCAACGACCGTAGTTATCCTCTTCACTGTGTTTGTACAGGTAAATGTGAGCTCCTTTGAGCAGGCTTGGTTGCAATACCAGACCTTCCAATGCTTTCTTAATTTGCATCTTCTTTATATACATTGGCAAACGGAAGTGTTATGCGGATCAGCACCCCTCTCCAGCTGCGTTTTTGGTGATTCCTCAGTGGCCTTCCCAACATAACCCCATTACCGGGACTGTTTTGTGCAACAGGGGCCGTGGCTGGAGGAAGCGGGCACGTGGGGTGGAGGCTGGCCACTGGCTGTTGCTTCCTGCAGACAGTGACGTGTGGCTTTCTCCCGTCTGGCGTCACAGGGACACAGGGAAGGTGACCTGCTCCCTCGTTTAGCTCAGTGGGGGGCTTTGCTGGGCATGGACGTGTTCAGGGCAGCCCCTGCCTTCCAGCCTAGGGTGGCTGCATTGAGTCAAACAGTTGTCTGGACCAAATACTATTCAAATGGAAACTGAAGGAGGGAGACCGTACACGGGCTTAGCTGCTGCACCACCTGAGCAACAGTCAGACCAAGCTCTCACATCCTCTGGCCCCAGACATCTCCACCCCAAGGGGATAAACGGTGATGATAAACGGCAGTGATTCTTGCAAATGTGTACCTCTTGCACGGGCCGGATTCCAGTTCAGCTGAGCTTAGATATCCTTAACTGCTATCAATGTGACTTAAGTTAATCCCGGCTACTTATGTCCCTTTGATTTCAATGGGTCCACTCTAAGTAGAACAAAGTCTAGATCTAACCCCATGTACTCGAGCATATGCAAATTTCATGCACATTTGAGTTCCTTCTCTCCTCTTTAGGAACTTGACGTGCTTTGACAGTGTTTCATCTCCAGATACATGCAAACGGAGATCATTTTGGAAGAGAGCTATATCCTGCAACCACGCACTGCTGGGAACTTTTTAAAAAGCTTGTGACTTCCTGCAAGCTGGAAATTTTCCCTGCTGATTACTAGCATTACATATCCGGTAGCCACTGCCAGCCGTTTTTCTGGGCTCCAGAGCAAAGACTTGCTTGGCTATTGTAAGCTTGGCAAGACAGGTTGGGGGAATGAGGACAGATTGCCGTGGTTTTTGGCCTTCTAGTGCCATCTTGTGGCCAAATGAAGTTCTCGATTCTAGCATGTCTTTGGAGATAGACAAATTGCTATTTGGGAAATTCATCTGGAGTAACTTTTGCAGCAGCGAGATACAGTAGGGTGAGGTTCCCCTGCTGAATTTCTGCTTGCCATGCAACTGTTCAAGATACAACAGAGTCCTATCCTCGATTCTGATTACTTATAGAGCTATTTATCACATTTCTGAGCTGCTTATCACACTTCTTCCTCCAGCTCCCCCCTTTCCCATGCACGCGGCCACTTGGATGACCTCTGCCCACCCAGGGATACGTCCCATGCCAGGTTAGATGATGAGCCCATAGAGCATTCTTGCTCTGCCAAACAATTTCCAGGATGCCAGTGAATGAAAAGGTTCTTTCCCATCACAGGTTCATCTTTCCAGGAGGGAACCTGCCATTTTTTGCATGCAAACCAGTGAACTGAGTAAGGGCCCTTCTATAATGTTGCCTCCCTTGCCTGCGTGTGCCACAGGGCTCCCCCTACAGCCTGGTGGAATTCCTCCATTGCAGGCTTATGGAGATGCCAAGTGCCACATTTGGCAGCTTCCATATAGCCTGAACTACCTGACACTGCCCAATCCTGGAAGCTAAGCAGGGTCAGACCTGGTTGAAATCTGGATGGGTGACTTGATGCTGGGAACTATGGCTATGTATGGTATAGAAATGTAATGAATCGTCATCGTCATCGTCATCATCCAGGCCTCCTCCAATGATCTCAGCAGAATGTGGAGCATCTCTTCTGCCCCAGCAGCCCCAGTGGGCACCAGTTGCTCCTGGTCATAGTCTCCACCTTCCCCAACTTGCTTGGATGACAAGACTTGGCCTTCGGGCAGGGCTGCGCACTGCAAACTGGCCAGGTGTTCCAGAGGGAGCGCACCTGCAGCTCACTTCAGGGGTGCCCCTCTGCGGCTCTCGGAGGCCAGGCAGGGACATAATGGCCGAGGAGGTGCCTAAGGTAGCTAGATCCCAAGCTCGTCCGGGCTTGGTATGTTAACAGCAGCACCTTCAGCTTGCTCCTTGCATGCTCATATAGATTTTAAATTAAATGTGTGCATTCTCTCTCCCACCCCCTCTTTTTATACCTCAGGGTATGACCATCCGGCCCCTTGTTGACTTGCTAGATGTCACCAGAAAACAAGAAAGTGCTCCCACTGTTGGGGAACAAATTCACATCCGGGTAAGAGAAGACTGAGGGGAGATAGGATGCCATTGCACCAGGACTTGGAAGGCTGTCACAAAGAGGAAGGCAGTGGCTGAAATGGGAAAATTATTCCAGTGTCTCCCATCTTTTTGACTGGAGCTCGATGCTCTTGCCAGAAACAAGCTGTTGTTTTGTCTGACGATGTGACCTCCCAGAATTCATCCTTTATGCAACAGCATAACTATGTCCAGCAAAATCCATCTCTTTCTCTCTCTCCTTCTGCTTAGTTCTTGGACCATTTATTGGCTGGCATTGAAGATATATCCGGACACTGGGGACAGTATTATTGGAAAGACAAGTAAGGCTTTGCTAAAAATACAGGTCTCTACATGTGTAGAAGGGAAAACAACAGCAGCTCTCAAGTATGAATTCTGTTTCCTGCTAGGGAAAGTTCATCCTCATGTCACAAAACAGATCATTGTCTTGCTATAACAATGACAAAAGACAGCTTTCCCCTTTCTTTAAACACCGAAAGCAGGACTGGGTTGTTTTGGAGCTATTTTTTTTTAAAGACGCGATTGCCATTCCTGGATGTAGAAGACCACCCGAACCCCTGAATGTCGTTCACAATGCCCCTGTCAAAGAAGGAACTAGGGAGGAGTATGGCAGTGCTCAGTCTTTCTGGCAGGTTACTTGTCTTTTGCCATGCATCCCATAATAGCCATTGCATGGAGATGTCCAGGAGAGTTTCTGGGAATGCCAATTGTACCCACAGCCCCCAAAAGCTTGCTTTTTCCTAAAGCTGAATGCTTTGTGGAAATATTTCCAAAATGGCGTACATCGTCAGTCTGTGCAAAAGGAGCTGAGGATCAAACAAACTGGATACTGCCAGCAGGCTCCCTTCATGCCAATCAAACCTCCACATTCCAAGGAACAACATGGCAGGAGAGAATGTTTTTCCATTTGCCACCAAAGCAGGAAGAGGGCAACTGATGGCCCTTTGCTGTTGTTGGACTGCAATTCCCATCAGCCCTTACCATTAGTTACGCTGACTAGTGCTGATGGTACTTGCAATACAACAACACCATGCATTACTCTCGCCTGCACTAATCTTCTCCCCTCTTCTACCTCCTCTTCACCGGCAGATTAGAATACTTTAACAGCAAATACCTCCAGAAGTTCTTGCTCCGGGAATATGTGCAACCCAAGTCAAGCATCGTGCTTCTCTATGAGAAACTTGAGCGGAAGCATGCCATTGAGTTGGCTGAAGCAGGCCAGCTCATCTGCGGACCAGCCCATTCATCACTGCTGTACGTGTGGTGGCGTTTTTTTCCTTTTCCTTTTCAGACCCATGAAACTGCCTTCAGTTTCTCTTCAGTTCACTGAAGAACTTGAGAGTTGGGGAGGATGAACCTGTGATTCGTGCGCCAAAATGAATGGCAATGGAACCAGTTACCTAGGGAAGTTGTGGGCTGTCCCACACTGGAGGCAGTGAAGAGGTCATTGGACAGCCATTGGCTAGGGATGCTTTCACTGGATTTCCGCACTGAGCAGGGAGCTGATTCGAGGACCTTAGTAGCCCCTTCCAACTCTTCCATTCTAGGAGTCTAAGAATGGTGCGGAACTACCAAACGGTAGCTGATTGGGAGAAGGGGCTGGGGCTGGGGAAGGTCAGCTCATCATCTAGGGAGCACAAGAGTGCCAGACTGGAACCTTGGGAGGGCCAGATTTGGCCCCTGAGCCTAGAGTTCTGCACCCTTGCAGTACAGGTAGATTCCCACATGATATTGAAATGCAATATGCATGAACAGCAAGTTTTAGAAACCTGCAAAATGTGTGGTGGTGACACAGGGACAAAATAAATGGACACTGATGCCCCCTCGCCCATCTTCCCCCATATTTACTGTCTGTTTCTAGCTTTGAGCTCCATTTGAGATTGGGTGGTTTGCCCTTTTGCCGCATAAATATATCTGCATTACTTTCTGTGTCTTTTCCATTTCCTCTCACCCACCCCACCAGCAACAAAGACAAACCTGCTGTCACAGTCAATGATTCAGACAGTCTCAATCTCGATGATGTGGATGACATCCAGAAGATCCTGGAAAGGAACCTGTACAAAACCAGGAGAACGGTGAGGCTTTAGCTGGGTGTAAAGAAAAATGTCTGGAGACTCTTGAAAAATCCCACAATATCCTGGAGTAATGCTGTTTGAGTGCATTGTGGAAAATTAAAATGGCAGCTGAGATCCAATGCACTATCATCCAGGTCAGGAATCTGTTTTCCAGATGCCGAAGCTCAGCCATTGCCTGATGTTAGCAGCACATTGATCTTCCTGGCCTGGGAAGTTGGGAATGATGAAGGATTAATCACTAAGAGCTATAAAGACAGTTTCAAACCAGCCCCACATTATTCTGTGCATCCCCTCTCCAGTACACCCCAGTTGCAATTCCGAATACTAACTAGGTCTTGACCTTTTTTATTCTTCTGTACTTTTAATGTTTAATTTTACCTATGTTTTTTGCTCAGTTCGTGGATCGTTTGTATTATTTGGGTATATATGTATTTATTGGATTTGAACTGTAAGCCGTCCAGAGACCCGCTGGGTATTGGATGGGTTAAAAATACCCAAATGAATAAATAGAATTAATCCAGGAACTGAATTTGGTCCCTGAGGCTGGCTGAACGGGGAACATGAGCGCTGCATGCGGTGCGCAGGTATATTGGGTGCTCAGGTGAGGATGGCCTGGTTCTATCAATCAATGGGGAGATGGCAGAACAAAAGATTCCTGGCAATCCACAACCACAGATGGAATGGATTTAACTGGGGAGAAGGATAACCCCTATTCTCCTCCTTGGCATCTTTTCCTTTCAGCTTTTTGGAAGTTATCCATGGTCCTGAGTTCCAGCCCCAAAATAGATCCGGCACCCTGGAACACCATGGATAAAGTGGGCAAAGAGGCTGTCGTGGAAGGAGTTGCTAGTCTCTGCTGAATCTGAGAAATCCACCCGTCCTTGGACCCAGCTGCCTTGGACTATTTGCAGCGCTGTTGCCGAGTGCCACATCTCCCACTCAAACTTCTGCGACTGCCCCTCCCAGGGGGGCCTGGTTAAAGGGCACTCCAGCCAGCCCCTCAAACATGGGGCTCATCCTTTTGGGTTGCTGCAGCAAACCCCAGTGATAGCTCCCTGTCGCTCCTCTCTCTAGTCAAGTGGCACTGGGAGTGTGGTCCTTGTGCCTGATGGACTGCCATGATGACTGGAGGCATGCAGGTGGCCTTCTGCATTGCCGTCTTTCCAATTTACGCATCTTATCCTGGATGGAAGAAGGTGTAGATGCCGCATGCAACTTCCTCGGATGCCACTGAGGAATAAGGCATGTACACTGAGTGCTCAGGTGAGGATGGCCAGGTCCCCTGCTGGCAGGCAACTGTTGGTGGAAAGCCTGAAAATAGAGAGCCAAGCTTGACAGAAGCCAGAAGTTGGACAGCTTCTAGGGAGGACCAGGGGACCTTCCTAGCAAGAGCAAGTGCAGAACATAAAGCTTTTCAGAGAGTTGCCTGGACTGGGAGAAACCAGTGATGTCAGTTAGTCTTTGGATAGCTCAGTAGCACCAGCAACGCTCTTCAGCAGCACCTGCCTTTCAGGCCAGGAGAATCATGGGCTACAGGTTTGGCACCAGCGGGTGGCACCACTGGAGACCCCAACCCTAACCCACTACATACAAAAACAAAATGCAAGGATAGGTAACACCTCTACTTCATTTTGCATGTGCTGTAGGTGCCGGCCTACAACAGGCACACCCTTCCTGGAGAAACAGAACCGGTGGAACAGGCCAAGGAGATCTTGATCCTCCGGCACAAGAGCTGGCAGATGCACATGAGCCGCAGTGACTCTGACCACCTGAGCAAGGAGGTAGGTGGGCAGGTGGTGGGGAGGGACCAGGAGAAATGATGGCTCCTCTCTCCAAGTTCTCGGTCTTCTCTGGTCCTCCGAGACTTTCTTCTGGGACTTCTTCTACCTGCCAAGGTACCGTGGTGCATAGTCCACTGCTCCATATGCAGATCATGGCCCACTCTGCCTGGAGACCTACCAGCAGGTGGGGAGCTCGATAGTATTGGGAGCTGCTCTGGGAGTCATCCTATCTGGGGGAGATGGGGGAGAAAGGAACCATTTTAGCAGCGGAGTTACCTCCTCCTCCTCAGCCATCCTGCGGCCCAGACTGGCATGTGTAATCCAGGCCTTTCATGGAAAGATCATGGGCCTCCTTTCCTTTTAGGGCCTGTGGGATATACTTTCCCTGCAGCACCTCCTGGTCCATTAGTGGGAGCAAGGAGCAAAATAGTGGCTGGGGACAGTGAAGTTCCATGCAAACAGCAAAGGCACAACCAATCACCCTTTCTCTTCCACGAAATGAGCTACACAGGCAAATACAAATTGGCCACCACTGTGGGCTGACCCTCTCTCTGCTCGTGTGTGGGGCCAGGGTGGCAGGAGCAGGGGCAGAAGTCCCACTCAGGGTGCCCAGGCTCTTCTGAAGCACGAAACCAACAGGAAACTCTGCCGAGCATTTGGACTCCGATTGGGCAGCAGCCTCTGTGCAACCTTCAGCCCTGATCAGGGCTTCTAACGGTCAAACCAAGAGGAGGTTGGGAGATGAAGCCATCGTTTTTTCTACACGCTGCAAGGGACCTCTCTGGGGCCGGCGTTCTCCCCAAGCTGGCAAACCCATTCTTACTGCACCACTTCAGAGCAGTGCAGGTGCTTTCCTGAATGGATGGGTGCCCCTGCACCCATCTTCACACCAGGTTATCTGAAAAGTGCTTTCTCCTGTGCATACCCACCTGAACCGTAAGGGCATCTTCAGGGCTCTTTGTGTCTGGGTGAAGTGGAAGAGAAACCAGGGGAATTTCTTTCTCTTGGGATGGCAAGCTGAAAGTGGAATTGCTTCCCCAAAGGGACTTTGCCGTATCAATGGCATTTCCCATGCTGCCTTGTTATCCTTACAGGCTTTTAAAGCTGCAACCTGATCATAGTATACCATATATTTTAGTTATACTACAACTTTGTGTCCAGTACTTTCCCTGATATTTTTTTAAAAAATGCTACAAATGGTTTTGTGATGTCTTTAGGGTGGTACTTTATCATTTTCCCTGTGGGGTACCCAGAACGTTATACCGGGCACCCAATGCAAATACCATGAATACCTTGTCCCTGCACATGGAGATAGTCTGGCGGATGCTGAGCAAAAATGCTGGGAGATTCTGCATGCTGCATATGGTGGAGCAGAACTGGAGATGCTTCATCTCCCTGGTGGAAATGAAGTCCAAAGAACAGATCTGTGTGGCTGTTTCCTCCTCCATCTTCTCTTGGCTCTGCTCCAGTTAGCACTGCTTTCTTCATCTGACCACAAGATGGCGCTGTTACAGCTCCATTAACAAGAGGAGGGGCTGTGGGGGAGTCTCATTACTTGAATGTCAAAGATAGTTAAGAACTACAAGTCAACAATAACACTACATAGTCTCTAAAATCATATGCAAGATCTGAAGGAGCATTTTGCTTGGGCAGGAAGCTCCTTAGCTCCTATTTTTGCTTGAGCTGTGATTAAACTAGGAAGCCCCTTATTAACCATCATTTCTATTTATTCTGAAACAGGAAACTTTGGAACAAGAAGATTAAAACTGCTTCAAGCCATGGTTGAATATCCTGGCTTATTTCCAAGCTGTTAGCTATTGGGCTGGTTAGCATACCACGACTGCACAGATTATTGGTTGAATATGCGTTGTTGTTGATTATAGGTTGTTGTTACATATGAATGCTGCATACTGGTTTAACCTATGTTGCTCATGGATAGCAATGGATAGTTCAGGGTATGCAGATAATAATAATGCACAATCCAAAAACAACCTGTACTCAACCCATGTTCTGGGTTGTTGTTACATGTGAACCACGTCGTTGTTTCAAGGTTTGGATGAAATGGAAAAACACCATTAACTGAAAACTTTCTGGTTTGTTCATGTTGCAAAGGGAGGACTAAATGGGCTTACCTCTCAGAAAAAGGCTTGTTCAAATCTAACCTTTCTAAAATATAACTGTCTGAATGTAGTTAACTCCAGATACTGTTACAACTAACTCAGAGCACCTGAGAGTTGACAAAATGAATCAGTTTTGTAAGAGTTTTCTGATAAATGATGGTCACCTTATAGCAAAATGACCTTATTTTAATTTATCTGGGGACTGAGTCAATTTTGCCAGAATGAAAACATCAACTCTTCACCCCCTTTGATGACAGACATTTCCAGCTCAGGAAAAATGGTCAAATTCTGATTTGGACGGTCCCATTCCTGCATGGAACATTGTTTGGAACGATGGGCAGGTTCACAAAACAAATTAAGTCCCCTGGGAATTCTTGCTGGGCACAGCAGGTGAAGTCCCCTCTGGACCACGTAGCCAGTGGTTTCTTTGCTTGGAGGTGGGCAGGCACCGCAGTCCCAACAACCCCATGGTTGGTTATTCTACCAGGTCCCAGAAAGCAGCCCAGGATGGACCTTCAGGTTCCTGCTGATTCTGACAGTCTTGCTTTTCCTCTGGCATTGGCAAGAGCCTGGCAGAAAGGGATGGAGTCCATGCATGGCCTGGCCTCATCAGCGAGAGCCCCTAGCCAGAGCAGCCATGCTGCTTTGCCACTCTAGCCACGGGACTCTTTCCCTTTTGGGTTCGACCATGGCTTAAAGTGTCTTCCTGGTTTGGTTGATGATGTGAGCCATGGTGGGTTATTTAAACCCCATAGCAAGCCATGGGCAACTGGGTGGTTTACAAACCACACCACAGGAGCAAGGCTGGGTCTGGACTCATCTAAATGCAGGGACTGTATCCCCACAAGCGTTCTTCAGGGGCCTCTTTGGGATGACCTTCTCCAGAGTCACTCAAGTTCTGTACCCTATTGTTAATGTAATTGCAGAGTCGCTGCAAGACAATGGATAGAGAGCATGGGTCCCTTGTTACACCAGAAAGGAAACAAAAGCAAAGTGAAAAATGGAACTGGGAGGTATCCAGAGTTATTTGGCAATCTAAGCTTTGGGGTCCATTGCCAGATTGCACGTCCATCACAGCTTGACGCTCTGCTTTAGAAACATGGACACATTCAGGTGTTCAATGTGCTAACAAGAGTTCTTGAAGAATGGAGATTAGTGTCTTAGCAAAAGGACGGAGCACTGATTAGCATGAGTCTCTCCACCTAGCGAGGCTTCCACCAGGTACTTGGTCCAGAGCCAGGGAACATCTGCCAAGTTCCTGTTCTGCCTTGGACGGCTGGCAGACAAACTTACTTCCAGACTGGCAACTGGTCCCAGCATAGATTGGACATTTTGCAACCACCCTTTATTGTTTCAAATCTCGAAACATAAGTCGCTTCCCTGCTACCTGAGCTGCAGTGTGTAGGTTTATGTATTTTTAAAAGCCTCTTTGTTATCTTGGCAATACGGAAAACAAATGAAAACAACGGGGTGGATGGGAGATTCAGCCAGCTTAGCAGCAGTCTTCAGAAAACTGTGTAAGCTTCTACCTGGAAGAGGTCCGAGAGGCAACCAGGTTCAATCTCAAGTAGAAACAGGAATCCTACACAAAGTGATTTCTTTGTCAAATGTCCATGTGTAAACTCCTTCCCTGCAATGGGCTGCCTTAAATTATATGATTTATTCTGATGGATAGTTTGCTTCATCCCCTGTGCCTGGGGGCAGCACTAATATTTTAATCCAAGAATCCTCTGCTTAGCCCACAGTAGTAATTCTCTGTCTTTATGCTTTTGGCCACCACGATTCAATGAGAATTAAAAATAAAATGTCACACCTGGGAAACATTCAAGATCTCAGATTCTGTTCTCCAGAGCAAGTGTGTTGAGTCTGCAGGGCAAATTTGGCTTGCCTTTGGCCCCAAGCACCTTTTCCTCAGCCACCTGCCACTTGGTGGTTTTCTGGATTTTGCGCAGGTCGCCCACCTCCCACCTTCCAACTTGCATTGGAATGACTCAGAAATAAGTTGAACTATTTCACCAAAAATCAGGAATTGCCCTGCTTGAAATTGTACTCCCCAAACCTTCTCAACCCATCATACATTCTGGGCAGCAAAGATGGTGGCAACGAGTTGGAGAAAGTGGGAAGGAAGGAAAGAATGTATTTGTGACCAACCCAACTTGGACAGCAATGGTCTCCAGGATAGGTAGTTTCCATCGGGATACTACTGGGAGCCTGACTCAGATGGCAATCTGGACAATGACCTTGACGTCACAGAGCCAAAAGGCCTGGTAGGACCCTCTGATCCTAGTAAAGGCCAGATGCCCCTGTCATTGTTGAGGGCCTTCAAAAGTGATGGACCCAGAAGACCTCTCCAGATAGAAACCCTGAAGGACTGTATGATACCCACAGGGTCAGTGGAAGAGGCTGAGCATCACTGATCTCTAGAATTCACTAGTGCATAAAAGCAGAGGCAAAGATACATCAAGAACTTCAGCAACCAGGCTAACTGGGACAAAAGGACCCAGCTTCTAGGGTCTCTAGAAGCTTTTGTCCATAAACCTTTGGTCAGGTTTCGCTGCTGCAAGAACACCTTTATCCCAGTTTCTAACACTTCAGCACCTTCTTTCATTGATCTTGTTGTTCCTTAGACTGGTTGCTTGTGCCACTGACTCTTGAACTCCTGATAAGATGCTGCTTTTGGACTTCCCATTTGCTAGACTGATAAAACTGTACTTCGACCTTTTGCTTGCAGTCTTTGCTAAAGGGATTTGGATCTGGCTCACCATAGGACCAGTTGTAGCAGGACCACTGCAATAGCAATTGGGAATATTGCAGTGGGAATATTGGGAACGCCAGGCAGAAATATTCCTGAGCTGTGGGACTTGGGGCAAGGTGGGTGGATAGAGGATATAAGAAACTGGTCCTGTCTGAGCAGGGGCGCGAATTCCAAAGCCCACTGCTTGACTTCCATTAGAGTTGAGGGAAAAATTCATTGGGTTCACATTTCAATGCAATTAAAAGCAACTGGCACTTAGCAGGTGAACTGTAACAACAGAGTTCTTCAGTTTTTGCATCTCTGGATTTTGCTTTCCAGTTCACTGGCCAAAAAATGGCATACATCAAATAAGTAGATCAGGGAAAGCTGAAAACCTAAAGGCCCGTGTTAGCAAATTGTATATGAATAACTACAATGTTTACATTAGGGGGGCTTGCATGCAAAATGCATACATATTTTCATGGAGACATGAATTGATATAGGTGTTCCTGTGCACTCACCCTCCTTTCCCCAAACTGATGGGGAAATGAACGTGTATTTGAACAAAACTGTGGAACTTACAGAAGGGAATGCAAACAGAATCACCTACCTCTACTTTAGGGGTGACTTGTAAGAATAAATCCTTTCTCGTCAGCAGACTCTCTTTTGGTTATGGTTCCAGCAAAAGTAATTAAGATTAGCAGCCTCAATAGGGTGATTTTAGCCTGGAAAAAAAAAAAACCTTGAGGCGGTCCAGTAATTGTGTGCATGTGTGGCAATGTTATCCCATTATTTCCAAACAATTACCTGACATTCTTTCTTCCTCACAGAAGGATGACTCCTATTCATCAGATGGTCAGACTAATCTCAAACCCAAGTTATGCAGATCTGTTACCAGTAAGTTGGAAAACCTTGGGTGTTATTAGCCAAAACTTTGCTCCTGTTCATTCTCCACTTGTTTTTTTTTTTTTGAATGAGACACATTTAGCTTCATGGACTGGTGACCAGTCATCAATTCTTTGATACAGACTTCATCTTTTAATCCTTATCCTCATGTATGTTATTTGTTCTGTGGCAGGAATCTGGAAAGGGGTCTTTGCTGATAACCAAAAAGGATAGATATATGTTTTGGGGGATGAAACTCTGTGTGTGCGTGCGCATGTCTCTGTCTGTCTGTCCATCATCTATCTATCTATCTATCTATCTATCTATCTATCTATCTATCTATCTATTCCTTCACCTTCTTTGACTAATAGCAGCACAAGTTTCTCATCTTCCTCTCCTTCTACAGCCAAGCATTCCAGAAAAGCACCAAGTGTGAAATCTAATCGATCAAAGTCAGCAGGCTTCATTATACCACTGCAGCTTGGTACTACCCAGTGGGTTAATGAAGAAGAAGCGGGGAAAAGTCCTGTTTCAAAGGAGAAGTAGCAGCTTGCCACAGCTTTCCCTCTGTACTTGTTTGGAATCTACATGTCTTTCTTCATTCTGTAGACAATTGCAGAACATGTTTGCAAAGTTTAACAAGTCTTATTTTCTGTCGAAAATCCCGTGGGTTTAATGTACAAGAAAATTGTTTTGCAAGAATGTACATTAAAAGTGTTAAACCCTTTTCAATTCCACAAGACATCCATAAAATTATGGTTTAAACAATTGCACTTGATCCTGCGTATACTGTTTGGCATATTTTATAGTGCATATTTGAGGCTGGAGACAACATTTTCAGAAAAGTCATGTGGTATAGCCCTTCTAGGATTGCCAACTTTCAGGCTGCAGGTGAGGGAGCCCAACACAGAATGGTTCTCGTGTCAAACACTGGAAGGAGAAAGAGAGTTAAAGGGTGATTCTATGTATGTTCACTCAGTCCTACTGAGTTCCCTGGATATAACCTGAGGGAAGAGTATAGGATTGCAGCCCTAGTCTAGTATTCTCCTGATGTTTGGCAACCCAGTATAAGATTTCCTCCACCTGCTCTTCAAAGTCCATTGCACCCGTAGTCTGGATGCAAGATCACATGCCAGATAATTTTGAACAACGAACTTCAGCAGTGCAGGACTTAATGGGAGGAGCTGTTTTGTATAAACGTACCTTAAATGAGAGTATGTTACTATTTTTTTCTGTATTTTGTGCATATGTATGAATTAGTAATAAAATTACACCATAAGAGGATGAGATGATGTTTGAGTATATATGGAGAAAAATCATGTTGTTATCGTAATGCTGCACATAGTACTCTTGTTCTTTTGTGCCGTCTGCCCTCTGTAACTTTTGGCAACCCTATGAATGCACACCCTTCAAAATGTCCTGATTTCGAGATCCCTGCACAGTTCTTGAAAAGAGCATTAGTGTTCTGGTTATTATTTCTTCTGCTTCCAAGATTAGTCCAAGTTATTCATTGTCGAGTCCATTGAAGCTATAGAACAGCCTTCCACGATCTGGTGCCCTCCAGATGTCCTGGACTATAACTAGCACAATGGCTGGGGATGATGGGTACAGTTGCTCAATACCTTTGGGCATCTCTAGCTTGGGGAAGGAAGTTGTAGAAGATGGGAGAAGGAATGGATTCAGGCCAGCCTTGCTTGTGGAGAGGATGGGGCCAGTCAGGTCGAATTAGGTGTGTCCTTAAAGGCAGCCTGGTACAGTGGCTAGTGTGTTGGGGTTCTCTCAAAGGAATTACTTTCATTCCTAGGGTGCACAGTGTCTACTGCTAAGTACGAATAACTGTGAGTACAGCCCTCAGGCCAGAACTGTGGAAACCCAGGTTCAAATACTTTCTTTCTAGGGTAAAAGATGTGATGTGGGACAGCAGAACTTGCTGTCTTAAGGTGTGCCTTCAGTGATCCTCAGAGCTGTATATTTGCAAATAAAGCGAAATATTACCCAAACTTCTTAAGTCTCTGGTTATCTCTTGCGCTGGAGCAGGGTTAGCACTTTGTGGCCCTCTTCTTTGTGGCACAGTCCTATGTGGACAGACCCCTGTTCCCACAATGTCCAGCATGGCTGGCTGTGTCGCACCTGGATTAGTCCAATCCCCACCCCCCCAAATATGCCTGGGTAGAAATGACTGTTGCAAAGGAGCAGAGAATGGGAGCAGGGAGGGAAGAAACTGGGGAAGTAGAGAAGTTTCCAAAACAAGGCATAATGTGTCTCAGAGTAATCCCTTTTTTATATCCAGTGTTTCAAAATCCTGTGGTTAAATGGGAAAAAGTGGAACGCTGGGATTGAATGCATGGCAAATGAGTTCTTCGCAGAATTTCAGGCTTATAGAAAGTGTTTAAATTCTTACTGTCACTGAATCTTGCAAGGTTGTGTGAAAGGAATTGTAGCATTTGATCCTTGCTTCTCCACTGCCCTGGAGCTTAGATGTTTCCCTGCTCACTCTTCACTGAATGACATCTTCAGGGAGACTGCCTATGAGATTTTGCAGGTACATGGGAAAATCTGTTGTATGGATACAGACAGACACCCATTGGTTGTATTCACATGTTTGTATGCCCAGGTCTGTGTGTCAGAGAGCTGAGACTGATGATAGTCCCTTGCTGAGTGTAAATTCCATGACAAACCTGGATTTGGTTCTGTGTAATGTGTGAAATGGTCCCATTTCTTAGAAGAAATAGGTGTTTGCCTGGGAACTCCTGGCTACTCATGGGAAGGGCACTTATGCGTAGAAGGGGGATTGGGGCCAGGATGGGTGACTTTTGAATTTCCGAAAAAGAGAGCATACCTCACCAAAAAAGGAAATAGGGAAAGCCTATTTGCAGAAGATTGCATATACTTAATGGTATGAGCAAACTGTATGCTAATTTACGTGGAAACCTTAAGAGAGAAAGTTTTGTTCATTTTTGCTATTGGAAATCCATTTCACTCCACGTCTTCCACTTTTTGCCTGCCCCTGTTCTATAAAGCTGTTTATACCAGCAGTTGTCTCTGCCTGTACTAGCCTTCCCCAACTGGTGCCATGCAGAGGGGGGATGCTGGGAATTGTAGTCCAACACATCTGAAGGGAGCCAACCCTGCTTTGCATGTGTGCATGTGAGCACGTGTGCGTGCGCACACGCACGTGTGCCATTAGGTTGTACAATATATACTTCAGAGAATGAAACTGTGCTTGGCACACGAATTCAGTTATTTTGGTGCAGAACACATTGGACATACATAGCCCTGCTTTCATTCCTCAGCTGTTTGGCAGCTCCTGGTCATCTGCTTTTCATAGCTCTCTCCTTACTGCCCCATGAAATGAATACCAGTCCTGACATGATGCCAATCTGTTATCTTAAAATAGAGACACTTTTCTTCGTGTGCCCCTCTCATCTCTGTCTCTCTCTCCAGAAAGCAAGACTGTTTCCTTCGTGAGTCCTTCACTCAATTTCACTCCCCCCTCCTTGTCTTTCTGCCATGAAGATCAAAATAGCTGCATTTTTAGCGGGGATTTTTGGAGTCCTGGGTGTTCTTCTCTTTCTGGTTGCCTTCGGGACAGACTATTGGATACTTGCGACAGAGCGGTGTGGAGGATTCGACACTGACAACAGCACCCATCATCCAGAGGAGGTAACTCCCCTAACAACACTGACAAAGGCACTTCTGTAGCTTAAAAAGAACCATAACAAAACATTTCTCTTGGGATTGAAAGGAAAATGAGGTTGGGGGCCTTGTTCTGAAATAGGAAGCCGTTGCCTATGTCCCTGTGATGTATTCAAACTTAGTTAATTCTTGAACAAATGGACTACAACCAGGGTCTTTTATCTAGAAACACATACTTTTCTTCTTTCTTCTGACTTGCAGATTTAATTGACTAATAAATAAATCAACCAAAACTCATGATTAATTAACATTTCTTTAAAGGCACACGCATGTACTTGAGATTCATGCTTTCCTCACTCCACTGATTTCAACACTTATGTTTTCGAAATTGGCTAAGGCTGCAACCTGTCTAGACTTAGGCCAATGTTCATTTCCAAGGTGTCCCTGCATTGAATTGTGCTGTTAGAGGGCAAACATTTGCCTGGTCTGGAGAATCCCATCTGTTTGCAAACTGCCCAGAGAGCGGCAGCTGTTGGGCAGCAAAAAAGGTAACTAAATAAACCTGAATAGCAGCTGCAGCCAAAATGGGCTGTGCATTTGTGGGTTTCTTCGAGGAACTTATCAAGGCCATTTATCCCATCTTCACTTTCTTTGGCATCTTAGTTTTCCAAGAGGAGGAAAAGGCCAGGAGTCAAAACAGGCTTATAACCCTAACACGTGAATGAAATTTCATCCACTTCTGAAAAGTGGATAATAACAACTGCTGGAATAATTTCACCAGAAATGAGAGAGAAAGTTGGCTGGCTCACTTAAAAGTGGCATATGCTAATCTGCAGAGAAAGAAGCAAATTTAGAGACGGTGCTAAAATGTTCATGGAAATGCCATGAAGCGCTCCGTGCTGGGGGAAAGCATGCAAAGGGGAGAATGTAACTGCTATCTAGGCACGGACTTGGCAGTGCTTCCAAAGCCCAGTTCTTCATTCTTAAGGTTCCTGCTTTTCAAAACAAATGCAATGGCTTTAAGAAAATAGAATACTCTCACCACAAATATTGGGGGGTTTGGATACATGTGAAGTAGGTGCCTGCAATGTGTATTCGTATTCTGAGCAATACTAGTAAGTAATTGAAAGACCATTTGTGCCTAGGATTCTCATCTGAATGCAGAAGAAACTCTTGCTTTACTAGAACTCTTGTTGCCTCTGTATAGAGGGATGTGCCTTGTATAAAGCAGAAATAAATAAATCTGGGCTACAGGCTTATTTTAATACCATCTGCCTTTAGTAAGATGCATCATGCAATCATATATCTAAAAGTGTAGCTCCTGAGTTAAACTGAAAATTACTGCAATACAAGAGTCTCCACAGCATCCCTGGATCTCCCCTTTTCTTTTGCATAGGTTGAGAGGGAAGACTCGGAAGGGATTCTTACATTTCACCATGAAGGCTTCTTTTGGCGTTGCTGGTTCTTTGGTGAAGACTACCAAGACACCATTTGGAACTTCTGGTTTAGTGAGTGTTAAGCTGGTGGTCTGGGAAGGGATTGAATCTGTGCTTTGGCAACCCAGTGGCTTGAGGGAGGTGGGTGGGTGAAGCAAGGCTAGTATCAAAGCCCACTGACCCAGGATTTACTTGACATGTTAGTTTACGACAATGCAAGTGCTTAGAAAACAATGCCAATGAAATGTTTAAGAATGGCCTTAGGATTGCACTGCTAAAGTGTCTGCTTCTGGTCCTCCCTTGATCTGGCCCATGTCATTTTGGGGTGCAGTCCAATGAAACTGGCCAGAGCCCACCCAATTTGAAAGACTCTGGGCATCCTATGAAGACCAGGGGGCTCTGGATACATGTGAAGTAGGCATTGAAATGACTGGTTTCAGCTGTCTGCAGCCCCCTGGAAGGGGAGGGAAGGCATTTGAGGCTCCCCCTGGCTGCACTGTAGCTTGGTGCCATTGGTCTGTTCCCCTCCCCTCGGAGCATCCCCAAATCCCTTCTGGAAGGTTGCTTATTCTTTCCACACCAAGAGTGGGGAGCAGGGGAACTCCAAACATGGCTCCCAGCTTTGAGGTTGGAGCAATTTCTGACCTCAGAGTGAGGAATCCAAATGAACCTTGGTCCTCTAGATGCTGTTACAGAACCAGTATTCTACTGTGAGAGGGAAAAATCCATGTTTACAAATCCAGTGTGATCAGCCAAGCTTCTGTTCACCAGCGCATCAAGAATGATCTGAATAAAAGAATGTCAAGAGAGAGACAAAACAGAAGAGAAAGGTCAGATTATGGCCGAACAAGAAGGACACAGCTTCCAACTTAGAGGGACCCTGAACAAGCTTTTTATATGGATCAGTGATGTGCCGTATCACTCCTAATCCTCTGTGTCAATATGATAATAGATCGTTTAGGCACACACACAGAATAATCCATTATCTTTGTAGATGAAATTTCACCAGCAGGCTTTGATATTCCCTGAAGCTCTTATGCTGAGTTTTATTTTGCTTCATAATGGCATACCTTTGAGGGGGGTGGCTTTCAGGACCATGGACAGCTCCCATAAAGCTCAGAATAAAAGCTGCAGTGAATAAGGACCTCTCTTGGTATAGGTGTTACCAGCATGCCCTTTCATTGTCTTTTTATGGCTTCACAAGCTCCTTCATAAGCAGTGGACAAATCAAACCCTGCTCTTGATTACTTAACTTCTCAAGTATTTTCTATGCCATATATGAGGACTGTTGCAAAGGTTGGCATCATTTTATTAAGAACGGAACAACCATAGAAAAAGACCTCTCATGTTTGCCAGCCAAACGGAACAGGTACAGCTATTCCCAGCACGATGTTCCTGCCTGCTACACAGGTCTTGGGGATGAAGAGCAAGCTAGGAAAGCAGAGGTGGCAGCTTTAATTCGGCACTGAAAGCACAGCTGAATTCTCAGGAACCCAGATCCAGATGCATGTGCTAAACACTCAGTGCTCTTAGTCTAGTTGAGCAGCTCTGTCCTTTCTGCTTTCTCCCACATTCAGCTTTTGTAAATCACCGAGTCTGTCTGTTCTCTTTGTAAAGAAATACGCAATCTTTCATAAATATGTTCTTAATCCCTCCCTCCCCAATCCAACAAAGTTCTCTCTCACCCCTAACATACTACCAAGAACAGCCCATATGTTTCATCATTGGCAGTGATGCAGTTTCCTTGGAATTGTGGTAGGTATGTGGTTTTCTTTGTCATCATCAAAGTGCTAAATCACGCATTGGCTATTGTAGCGATTCAGCAACATTTTGAAGCATTCTTCCCGGAGCTGGTCATTTCCACACTTGTCCTCCCTCTTAGCCCGTCACTGCTGTTCCAGGGGCTATTTTGCTGTAAAAGGAAAGACTGACATTTCCTTGCTATGTTTCTACTTTGCCTTTCCTCCCATGAGCCTAAGACTGTCTACAAGACCCCCTTCTTGCCCTTTTATCCCCACAACTGTCTTATGAGGTGGCTGAGGCTGAGAGGTAGTGACTAGCTTGAGCTTCATGGGCACTTGAACCCAGACTCATGATTAGCAATCCAGCTCCCGGCTGCTACACCAAATGGGCTTCCCATCCATTGAGTTCAAGTGGTCCCTATGACAAAACGTTGCAGTGTATTCTTATATCTTAACAGTGGATGCCCTGCATCCAGATGACATCTAGGCTCAGAGTTTTGAGTGCTTTTCAGATGCAAGATCTGCACTAACTTCCCTAGCTCTTTCTCCAGGATACTTCGTTCTTACAAGCTCTCAACCCTTTTCCTTTTTATTTTTCTGACTGACACTGGCCATTCCAAGAGTACCAGCTCTGGGTCATGCTGGGCTTTTGTCCCCTGAGGGTCTACTTCTGCAAAGTTCCAGGTTCCCCCAGCATGCTGAAGTCTCCCCAGAGTTCTCATTGGTTCCAGTTAAGCCGCAGCCTTGCTTGCATCCATCATGTGAGCTTGCTGTCTGAGACAATGATGAACGAGCTATTTCAGCAGTTTTCAAACTTCCCCAGCCCCACTTCAAAAATGGCCAAGCTCTTCTCTGACCACTTATTAAACTGTTGTTTGTTGTTTGACAAATCAAAGCACACACAACTCAAGTTCAAGGTCAAGTGCAGCTATTCTTGATCACTGTGCAATCTTTTACATAACCTATCTGAATGAGACTCTTGAATTACCAGTGGGCCACACATCGAAGTGTAAGAACTTCTAACCTTAGAGCTTGCTCTTCACACACAGAGGCACACACACCCTGGGGGGCCTGATACTCCTACTCTAGAGTTAAAGTGGGGGTTGGTGGGAAGACACAGTTGATACATACATTTAAATAATGTCTGTAGTGGCTTTGCATCCATGGGCTCTAGTGAAAGAATGACAAAGAAGATATTAAGGTTCATCCAGAAGTGTAGTGAACTTTCCCATTGTCCAAAACCCAGAATAGTTTCTTAAAGCCATGTCAATAGCAATAATTGCCTTCCCAATCTTTCTGTGGATAAGAGCTGCTTTTGCTGTGAGAATGAAACTGTTTGCCCTGCTCCCCACCAATCTTCCAGGAAGGAGGGAGGTTAGTGTTTGTGTACATGTTGACAGATGCTGTGATAGTGGGAAAGATTCTAAAATCCATGGCAAGGGATGTCTTTTGCTCTCAGCCCAAGGAGAGAAATTGATGCATTACATGGCTAGTCAGCTTTGGAAGCCATGGAAAAGGGGAATGTAAGCTCTCTTTTGCTTGCTTGTTAATAATTTGCTTCTGCATTTCATCATTGTATTCAAGAAACTATGCATCATCTTTGTGGCTTCCTTGCTTCCTATGTATCTTCTAATGCAATGGCTGGATCAAGTCCTGGGTTAAAACTGTCCCAAAGGTACCACAATCAACAGAGAGTTGGAATCAAGGCAAGCTGCACTGCCTGTAGGTTAAAGGAGAAAGAAGACAGTAAGGAAGTTTTCAGTTCTAGAAATCCACCAATTATGTGATTCCATTAGAGAGACTGATCATATCATGTACATTTCTTTGAATGCACAACCAAATAGTCCTCACAGCACTTTCTTCGAAGTATGTGTGCCTAAGATTTCAGCCTGTCTTCCAATGGTTTTCCTTATCATGTAGTTCCAGTATGAGTTGATACAGATATTTCTGGATTGCAGCATTAATATAATAATGGGGGCCATCCAAATTTAATTATTATAATGCATTGTATAACAGGATATTACCTTAAGTCAAATGATCAAATTAAACTTCACTTGGAATGCATTCCCATAACACAAGATAGACTTGATAACCAGCAGATCTTTTATTACTTTTGGTGTCTGCATTAATGAGACCGATCACAGCAAATTCATTTTGCTGCTTTTTGTGGATGGAATAATTAATGCAGTAGAAATTTCATTAGTCACTTAGCAGGGGTGAAGGTCCATTTATTATAAAGTGCCCCCATTCTGTGGGAAACATTTTAAAGTAAAGTGGATAATCATTAATTAATTTGTTTAACATTCAGCCTATTACTGTTCATCATGATAAGTCTTGATGGCATTAATATTGATGGTAGACCTCTTCAATAATGATCCCTCCATTTCCTAGGATGTCATTGCAAACCACTGCAGTATTAAAAACACAAAACAGGTGCAATCCCCAGGTGACTAGGAGCCAAAATGTTCATTCAGTCCATAGGTGATGGTCCATGATGTAGAAAGAGAAAAATCCTCTGGACTACAATCATTTTTCCTAACTCAGCTTTTGAGCCAACAAATGTGACCTGAAAGGAAGTGCAGTATGAAATACTTCTGTTTAGCATCCCAACTATTTCGTTCAGTCCTCCACCCTCAATGCTCGTCAGCTTTTGGTGGTCACCAAGCACAGTCTTCACTGGGTTGTTCTGAGGTTTCCCAGCTTCTGCCTTGTGGTTTCGTTCTGAAAAGTTGTCTGTCTGTTTGCTCTGCAAGCATTGCTCTTCCGTCTAGCTGGATGATATCTATATTTTCTGTGTGCAAGTGTGCATTCATTGGCCATTTTGCTTGTTTAAGCATTGTCACTCACAGCCTGGACATCCAAAATAGAGACAGTTGTTATGGCTAGGCGCAGTGCTAAAAAGTAAGTTCTTTCCATCGCAGCAGCTCACATTTTCTATTGAGAACAGCCAGATTGTGTAACTTGCTTAAATTGTGCAAAGAGGAAACTGTTGCACCAATTTGCTTGCATGCCGCAAATTATCTCAGGCTTCTGCCTTGGAGGACTAAGGAGGAGTTCTGTCTGTGAGATCGGATGTTTCACACATGCAAATTATATCGGGTAAATTCCCTTCAGCTCTGTTCAGAACCCACTCAGTAGTTGCAAGCTGTATTAGCAAATATGCCAGAGATGCTTCTGCAAGTCCTCTCCTGGCTCACAGTGTTACCACCAATGTGCTGAGGGTGTTGTACAGATGTGCTGGATCACATCATCCCCTGGAAATCATCCTTACACTAGGCATGGATAAGAACCAGCTGGAAATTAAACTGCCCAGAAAAAGGGTGTATAATG